CCAAATTACATCTATGATATATATATATATATATATATATATAGGAAAAAGATATGGTCAGCAGCTTCATGTAGATAAGCTAAATGCACCAACGGCTCAAGATTGAATCTGGACCGATCTGACGATCACGGATGTCCAGTAGTGTTTTAATTTTAAATTTTTTTCTACAAATCCAAATCACTTGAAATTTTAGGCGTGTGTTATTAAAAAATAGGTGAATCTACGAAAAATATTGAAAAAACATTTTACATGAAAATAATTGACCAAAATACCCCTGAAACTTTGCAGGGTATTTTGATCAATTTTTTTCATGTAAAATATTTTTTAATATTTTTTCATAGATTCACCTATTTTTGAAGAACACACGCCTAGAATTTCAAGTGATTTGGATTAGTAGAAAAAAAATTAAAATTCAAACATTACTGGACACTACTAGACATCCGTGATCGTCAGATCGGTCCAAATTCAATTTGGGCCGTTGGTGCATTTAGCTTATCTACATGATGCTGCTGACCATTTATGTATATATATATGGTTATGTTAGGGTGCTCACACTATGGAGTAATTTATCATTGTACTCAACAAATTTTGGACACTTCTATACCATTGTTTTGTACATGGAGTATTTTTGTAATAAGGTATTTTTGGTCATTGGAGGGATGTGACGTCATCCACATGGGGTGTGAGATCACCCATATAGAGCACACTAGAGGCATTTAATGCTCCATGTGAGTAATGTCACGCTCTATGTAGATGACGCACACCCCTCCTAATGACTAAAATTACCCTTACTAAAAAAAAGCTCTGTATACAAAGCAAGGGTATATAATTTTCGAAAACTTGTTGAGTACAATGATAAATTACTCTACAGTGTGAGCACCCTAACATAAACCATATATATTATTTTATTTTATTTTACCTGATGTGGCACTATTTAGTGGCACATTCTACACAGTTGGGTTCCAAAAGTGACCAATACAAAGGAGTTGCAGTAATGTTCCTCACAAGCAGAGGAAGATTATAGTACAAATCTTGTTTAGTGATCCATCCATATTTGGCCCGAAAGCCCATACAAGATTAACTTAAGTAAATATTGCATTTCCATGCCTCCTTGGTGTGAAGTGTGGCAATCAGTGTTCAAACCACTACTCGGGACGAGTATTCGGCCCAAGTACTGTAGCAGCAAAAAAAAAGGTTTGAATTTTTTAATAACCCTGAGTGGGACACCCAACTCGAGGAAACTTGGGCTCGTCAAGGTGGCGAACCTGAGTACTCGGCCCAAGTACTCGGGACCGAGTAGTCGAACACTGATGCCAATGAACCTTCTTCTATTATTTGTGTTGACTCCTAGGTAAAATAACATTTCAATCCATATATGTCATTCCTTTTGCTGCTACAAGAACTCCTAGCAGTGAACCTTATGCAATGATTCTATCAAACCTACACAAGCTGATTGGGTGTTGTGAGTCTTGCAATGCCATGTCAGGCATTTCATTTTTTTTTCTTTCTTTTTTCAAAAGAGATGAGGCTTATCATGTTCTACTTAGCGTTGTGTTATTGCTTGTTGTCTTATTGTCTATTTAGGTAATGTTGTGATTACGATGAGGCACATCATGTTCTACTTAGCATGGTGTTATTGCTTGTTGTCTTATTGCCTGGCCATTCAGGTAGTGTTATGATTACTATAGATGTCAAGTTGCTCATGAGTGAAGTGTTTGAATCATTGAACATAAACTTGTATTCGAGTTGGAAAAACTCACTGAGTTAACTTGAGTTGTGACTTAGCCAACATGTGGGAATTCATTGGGGAAATTTTTCATAGCTTCAAAGATTGTTGGGCTCCACTTTATAAATTTGAGTTTCACTCTTTCCTGTCAGTTTTGGTTTCTAATGTCTTACCCAATGTCCGCCGACTTGTGCTAGTCGACTCAGACTCGCCCTAGTCACTTGAACTTGGGGGGTTGTTTGGGGTGTTTTGTGAGTCTGTGACACACTTCACAAAACACGGAATGATCATGTGGTCCCTAGTGTGAGGACATGGCTTCTTGGATAGTTTTAGGATCCTCTTCCAAGAGATACGTCTGAAAATTAGTACCAAAAATCAGTGACACTCATTCTTTTACCTATCTTTAGTTCTAAGTCTTCAGGGTTCTCATGTTCATCAACATTACATTTACTGTATGGTTCTTCATATTCAATAACTTGCTCATCAATAAATGCGTGTTAAAAAATTCTGCGTCCTTGGACTCTATAATCACATTAGATTCTAGGTCGAGAAATCTATAGCTTTGCCATATTCAGCATAGCCACAAATACACACTTAATCGATCTAGATCCAAGTTTGGGCCTCTTAAGGTCAAGGAGCCTTACCAAGGCTGCACAACCCAAACCTTGAGGAATCCTAAATAAGATTTCATTTTCTTTCCAAATTCATATGGTGTAGCATTAAATTTTGACTACAGTATCCGATTCAAAACATAACATGCTGACATTAAAGCCTCTCCCCATAAATTAGTAGAGAAATTTGAACTGATGAGCATGGCATTCACCGTATCCATACGTGTGCGATTCTTTCTTTAGCTAAAATATTACATTGTGGGGTATATGGGGCAGTAACTTGGTGAATAATTTCATTTTCCTTACAATATAAAAGTTAGTGGAGCAATATTCACCACCTTTATCACTTTTGGTAACCTTGATTTTCAAATTTAATTGGTTTACGGTTTCAGTTTTTTGTAAATTTTGAATTTCTCAAATACATAATCTGTATTTCTAATCAAATAAGCATAAGTGTATCTTGAGAAATCATCAATAAAGGTGACAAAGTACTTTCCACCATGGGTCTATAATTAAATGAAATCACAAACATCACAGTGTATCAACTCAAGTAACTTGGAACTTCTTTCCAATTTTCTTTGTGATATTTGATCGTGCACACACATTACAAAGACTATTTTCCAAACTCTCACATTTAGGAATAAGGTCTAAAGTATACTTAACGTTACCTAATCAGGCATATACACAAAAGACTAATCAAACGTATACACAGAAGAGGTAGTTGTTTCATTATTTGTAATGAGTTTGAACATGCCTTCAAAGGCGTATCCCATACCTACAAAGAGTCAATTCTTTGACAAGTAGAACTTGTCGGACTCAAAGACAGGTTTAAAACTAATCTTGTTCAAAAGGAATGCCGATGCTAAATTTCTCTAGACTTCGGCGGCATGGTACACATCCAAAAGGGTGAGGACTTTACCCAATGTTCAAAAATTAAATATTCAGAATAGAAGGCACTTGGAGGTACTAGATGGTCTTGCTCTCTTCGTAATGTTAAATGCCCTTGACTCGATAAAATTCTGAGATGCAATCGGTTTGGGCGAGTGCACTTCCAAGATACAGCCAGGATCAATATTTCACTACTTGAGTTACTAAGTTGCACTTGCAGTTACTCATCCAAAACCATAGCAGAATATATTCTAATTTGTATTTTCTAATTGATGCAAGTTTACCGGAGAGACTAAATTCCCATCATATCATAAAATATTTCTTCTCACAATAGAATTTTATTAAAGATAGTAGACTGCAAGTGTGAAGATTTACTTGACCACTCAGCTGAAACTTCCAAAATTTCAAGAAAACGAATGCACATATAGTCATAAGGCAGTTTCTAGTTCATCTCCTGGCAACAGTTCTGATGAGAGAGAATGGAAGAGATTTTCTGTAGTGAGGGTGAGTGAAATCAAAGGGGGAAAAAACCCTCATGTCAAAAGAAGATAAGGATCAAAAAGGAAAAAGTTGAGGTGAACCTCAAGGACCGAAAAAGAAAATTAGTCCATCAGATATGGTCTCATGATCATGTTAAGGAATAAGGGCCTCATGACCACAAAAGACTAAATAAATAATATAGTCCAAAAGGGAATATGGTTTTTTGAAACATGCAACAACAAAATTAACACATCCAAGACTTTCAAGAGCTCAGAAGGACTTGATCCAAACTCAAAACAGGAACCTGGTTTGGGGGTTCCTATTGGGGTTGTCTAAGGATGCTTTGACAAGGATTGGAAGTATGGGTTCTTGCCTGGCATTGATATTGTAATTTTGGGTAAATTTTGCTCTTTCAAATTTAAATTCATATTTCTTGGACTATTTTTTTTAATGCATGTAATATTGTATTTTATTTTTTTTGTGTTTCTAATTTTTCTGGTTTTTAATGATTTTTAATATTTTCCTCGATTTGTTTATTGTGCTTTTTGGATTCTGGGGGACTCGCTGCAGACTAATGCGAGTTAACTTGGACCAGTGATGGTCTGCATTCTACAGTTGAGCTACATTTTCAAACATTGGTCTCACCTCATGTTCTAAGTATATGAGTCAACTGCAGAGGGAAACTTTTGTTCTTCGAGGACAGGAATAAAGTTATAGGCACCTTGGACAGAATTCATTATCAATTTTCTTGTGCTGTTCAATATCAGTCCATAGATACGCCAATGACAAATTGCTTATTACTAAATTATTTATAAAAAAATTATTTTAAAAAATTGCATATTTTTAAAATATCATTCCACCCCACTAAGGATTACAGTGATAGTGATTGCTCTTTTCTTTGATATGTGCAGAAGCAAAGCGTGCTGTGCCTCTCAAGGATTATAGGAATATTGGAATTATGGCTCACATTGATGCAGGGAAGACAACTACGACAGAACGTATCCTTTATTACACTGGAAGAAATTACAAGATCGGTGAGGTGCATGAGGGTACTGCTACAATGGACTGGATGGAACAAGAACAAGAAAGGGGCATAACCATTACTTCTGCTGCAACAACTACATTTTGGAACAACCACAGGATCAACATCATCGACACCCCTGGCCATGTGGACTTCACGCTCGAGGTGGAGCGAGCTCTCAGAGTCCTTGATGGTGCTGTCTGCTTGTTTGACAGTGTTGCGGGTGTGGAGCCTCAGTCTGAAACTGTATGGAGACAAGCTGACAAGTACGGGGTACCTAGGATATGCTTCGTCAACAAAATGGATCGTCTTGGGGCCAATTTCTTTAGAACAAGGGATATGATTGTCACCAACTTGGGTGCAAAACCTCTGGTCCTCCAACTTCCATTGGGTGCAGAAGATAGTTTTCAAGGAATTATTGATCTATTGAAGATGAAAGCTGTGGTGTGGTCTGGAGAAGAACTGGGTGCCAAATTTGCCTATGAGGATATCCCAGATGATCTCAAAGATTTAGCTCAGGACTACAGAACCCAAATGATTGATGCAGTGGTTGAGCTAGATGACAAAGCTATGGAGAATTACCTAGAAGGTATTGAACCGGACGAGCAAACTCTCAAGAAGTTGATAAGGAAGGGGACGATAGATAGCAATTTTGTTCCGGTTTTATGTGGTTCGGCTTTTAAAAACAAGGGGGTGCAGCCATTGCTTGATGCTATCGTGGACTATTTGCCTTCTCCACTTGACTTGCCTCCCATGAAAGGGACCGATCCTGAAGACCCAGAGCTAGTTATTGAAAGAACTGCCAGTGATGATGAACCTTTTGCTGGTTTAGCTTTCAAGATCATGAGTGATCCATTTGTGGGTTCACTCACATTTGTGAGAGTGTATGCTGGCGTGCTGACTGCTGGATCATATGTTCTCAATTCTAACAAAAACAAGAAGGAAAGAATCGGCCGGCTATTAGAGATGCATGCTAACAGTAGGGAGGATGTTAAAGCAGCATTGACAGGTGACATTGTTGCGCTCGCTGGATTGAAAGACACCATTACTGGTGAGACACTATGCGATCCAGACAAACCCGTAGTATTGGAGCGGATGGACTTTCCAGATCCTGTTATTAAAGTTGCAATTGAACCAAAAACCAAAGCTGACATTGATAAGATGGCAAGCGGCCTCATCAAGCTTGCTCAAGAGGACCCATCCTTCCATTTCTCAAGAGATGAAGAGATTAATCAGACTGTGATTGAAGGAATGGGAGAGCTCCATCTGGAAATCATTGTTGATCGATTGAAAAGGGAATTCAAGGTTTGTTCCCAGCATGCCAACACTCTTTGTTTATCTCCAATTATTAATTTTCCACTGGCTTTTGTGTGGTGAACTTGTGCGCGTGTGGCATGTCTTCCCCTTGTTCTTGCCTCCCGTCTTGCTCTTAGTTTGGTCACACCTCCCACACAGCATGTGCCAAATATTTGGGTTTCCCAGTAAAAAAGATAAGTAAAATTGCCAAATTTTCCTAAAATTTCAGTGTCTGAATAAGTCCCTATGTGAATTACTACACATTTATGTGATGATCTTTTGATCATGTCAATCAATGTACATCTAGGTTAAGAACTTATCTTTGTTTTTATACATTTTCAAGTGGTGGAATGACCAAACAGGATACTCACAAAACTAAAGTTTCCAAAGATTCTCATTAATATGATTCTATATACCAGTTTATTTGAAACTTACTGCGGTTAGGGCTGGCAATGGGCCCGGTGGCCCGGCCCAAAAAACGTATGGCTGTTCATGGCTCGAGGGCCAGGCTGGGGCTAGTGCCGACCTAGTTCTCGCCTAGCTCGGCCCTCTTTTTTTTTTGTCTCTAGTTTTTTCCATTATTTTTCTTCGGCCCGGTCTGTCCTTAATAGAGCTAGGGCCGGGCCAGGCACAGCCCGTTGCCAGCCTTAACTGCGGTCTATATAATCTATGTGATCTAAATGGATACAGGTCGAGGCCAATGTAGGTGCACCACAAGTCAACTATCGTGAGAGCATATCAAAAGAATCTGAAGTGAAATATGTTCATAAGAAGCAGTCGGGCGGACAGGGCCAGTTTGCCGATGTGACCATAAGGTTTGAGCCCATGGAACCAGGGAGCGGGTACGAGTTCAAGAGTGCGATAAAGGGAGGTGCGGTGCCAAAGGAGTACATCCCTGGGGTGATGAAGGGGCTGGAGGAGTGCATGAGCAATGGCATCCTCGCTGGCTACCCTGTAGTTGATGTGCGTGCTGTCTTGGTTGACGGGTCATACCATGATGTGGATTCAAGTGTGCTTGCCTTCCAGCTGGCAGCTCGTGGTGCCTTCCGAGATGGTATGAGGAAGGCTGGACCAAGACTGCTTGAACCCATAATGAAGGTGGAGGTGGTCACCCCCGAAGAGCACTTGGGGGATGTCATTGGTGATCTCAACTCTAGAAGAGGACAGATCAACAGCTTTGGAGACAAGCCCGGGGGTCTCAAGGTACTTATAACCTCCTCTTTCTCTTATATCCCTCTTATGGTTTTTTTGTGTAAGAGTTACCTAATTTACCGATTTGGTACCGATCATTGATCTGATCTTGCCAAAGCATATGTAGCAACCTTTTTCTCATTTTGGCTAAGATATGTGATTGGTGTGAGTGCATGCACTCCATGTGTACATGTGTGCGAGTGAGGTTCATGTTTTTTATTATCATTATGCCCATATGACTGGGTTCGGTGCAGGTGGTGGATGCGTTGGTACCCTTGGCTGAGATGTTTCAATACGTGAGCACACTGAGGGGCATGACAAAAGGACGTGCTTCTTACACCATGCAGGTCGCGAAGTTTGATGTGGTGCCCCAACACATTCAAACCCAGCTCTCTAACAAAGACCAGCCTGTTGCTGCTTAAATCAATCTCACTCTCTCTCTCTCCATTTAAACCTGCTCCCTTTTAAAATTGTATATTTTATATATCCAAAATTTTGCGTTGCAGCCAAGCAGCTGTTTCTGATTATCATTTTTTATGTATCCCAAATTGTATATTCGGTTTATGATATAATTTGGGCTGAAGTTTAGCATGCAGCAGGCAGCAAAGGGGCACCTTAGACACTCTCAAGGGTCCCTATTCTATTAAGGGCAAGCTTTTTATGCTTTGCCTAGAACATAAAACTTACTTACTTCGTATCCAACCCTCCATTCATCCAACCCCCCATTCTGAATGGAGGGTTAACATTGCCCCAATGACAATGTCATGTCTCTACACCATTTTATTTTTATTTATTTTTTATATAAAATATTTTGACATCAAATTTTGGGCATCTAATTTTTTATTAAACTCGGACTTGTAAAAACTATATAAAAAAAATATTCTCAATAAAATAAAATGATCAAAATACAATTGAAAGTTTTAAGAGGTATTTTTATCATTATATTCTATTAAAAAATTAATTTTAATATTTTTAATAGGTGCACCCCAATGAGAAGATGATGTGTATCAAATTTCATATCCATACACTTTGCATTAAAAAAAATTTAAAAATAAAATACTTTGAGGTGTTGGATTTAGGATCAAATGGTGAGTGATTCACTTGAATAAAATTGGATGGTAGGAGAAACTTGGATCTTCTATGCTGTAGGGAAAGTATAGAAACCTTTCCCTTCTAAATGCTGCAGTGATTTGTCCGACCCAAATTTTATTTCACAAGTGAGTCAGAAAACTGGCTTAGAAACAAAGGTGTTACAATGAATGAGATTGGCTATGAAGAGACCATTTATCTTTGCAAAAAGTTTATATAAGTGTGAAGCTCTAGACAACCAAATTAGAGTGCACTTTAAAAATTGTGAAGCTCTAGACAACCAAATTAGAGTGCACTTTAAAAATTTCACCAAAAACGATTGTTTTGATGCTCAAATATCTTCAAATTGATCATCTTAGACATAAGATGCATGGACATGAGAAAAAAATAGATTTCAAGTTAATAATGCATCTTGTAAGTTTTGGAGATAATGTATCTTGTAATGTAGTTTTCAACCGTCATTTTTAAGTTTTTATAGATCAGCTCAATCTACACTATATTTAAAGCTTAATTAAAAATGAAAATATATATTAAAGCGATCACAAAGATTACCAGTATTGAAACCACATTTCTTGACACTATTAGAGGTACATTTTAATTTTGATTATTTTGAGAATCAAATCTATACAAACTGCATTTTTTATCTGTCGTACATATATGTCATAATCATTCTCACTCGTTAGATGTCAAATTGAATTATTTGAAGGGAGTCATGAAATCAAAAAATTTATTTTTTGAAATTGTTTATTCAATGACACTCTTACAATCGACTATTTTGAAATTTAAAAGGCAAGTACGATAAATAGTTTATGTAGACGTAATCCCACAATAAATAGGAGATTTGAGAATTTCTCAAGCATCAAAGATTCAATTCATCTCTCTACTTGAAAGAGTTAAAACAAAGAAGACTCCTATCATTAAAAACTTCAAGCTCTGCCATAAACCAGTCCCGTTTTGATATTATTCATTAAATGAACACAAAAAAGTTAAATTTGAACAATAACAATTGACTTGAAACATTTTTCAACTTTTGCATACTCCTTGTAAGTCTTTCCCACATATGGATTATTGCCTTCTTTGCTGTGATATAACTATACAAGAAAAGCGATTGAGGCATTATGCATTAAGAAAGCCTCTTGGGTGACATATTTTGCAGCAGCGATATTGATGTAGCGATTACAAAAATCAACAGCGGCACACCTGAATGCGAAAATTACATAATTAGAAGATAGTATAAAGCCAGTGTAGAATACCTCACTGAAGGGTTCAGAAACTCACCGAGTACTACACACGCAACTTCAAATTTGTTGAACAATGAGAACTCCAATGTGCTTCCTCCACTAGTTAACTAATCCACGACCACCACAATCACATGACAATAGAGAGAGAGAGAGTAGGTCGCATAAGATTAAGTTACTGTTCTTAACCAACTAGGGAAGGACAACCAAAAAAAGAAGTAAAATCGTATTTCATTTATTTATTAACATTCAAGATTACTCGTCACATGTTTTTTTTCCTTTTCCCAATTTCATCGATATCTGACTTAGTCACATACTCAACAAATGTTTTTTAAATATTCCCTAATTAATCTGGAATATTTTATAAATATAGCAATTTAGTGGACATATTCCCACTTATAAATCAAGAAAAAAAGGAATTCAGAATATCGTAATTCAATAAATATATTCATAGAATGAGTGTAGCTAAGATGACGATATTGAGATGGAAGAATAAAAAGACAAGAAAAAACAGAATCCGGAACGAATACATCTTAGAATACTTGGGAGTGGTTTTAATGGCGGATAGGATGGGAGAAATTAGACTTAGATGGCTATGTACAATATAGACCTAGAACACCACCAGTTAGGAGGGGTGATTCGGTTCAAGTTGAATGTTCTCGAAGGGTTAGTGAAAAGCCCAAAAAGACATGGATGGAAGCAATGAGAAGAAAAATGGTGATCTATAGTCTGATGGCGGTTATAACTCTTAATAGAATAAAATGACAGAATAGAATTCGTATAGCCGATCCTAAATAGTTGAGATAAGGCTAAGATGATGATGATGATGATATTCCCACCCAACTAATCAAATCTCTTGTAATCAGCATAATCTATGATGACATGGACAACAAGACGACGATATTATAGTTCATTTGCACAAGTTTATTTATAAAGGGAAGAGTCAAGACTTACACTCTAATTCCACAATTAATTCTGCCGACATATAACATGCATACTCCTTGGAGATAGGAAGAGGCAAGAGAAAGAAAAGCTAAACTTCTACAGAAACATCGATTTGGATCTCCCCAGTATAATAGAAGTTCCACAACTACCATAATTCAGTAGCAACTGGATCACGGAATTCACCTTTAAGAGATCCCTTGTGACAATACGTTCAAGAGAAAGCACTGCTGTGGCCGATGATGCAACAATGTAGAGTTTCAAGAAGTTTGCACGACTATTCCTCCGGCCTTTAAAGAAGCACCAATTTTCAAATGAAAAAGTCAAGGACATGGAAATTTTAAGAAGCATGTCTTCAATTTGCTTTTTGATTTTTTCAGGCAGAAGGGGGTGGTGGGCGACAGATTCTAAAAAATTAAGGTAAAAATAAAAGGAAAGGAAAAGAAATAAACAGGCCATCATTTCGCAAGCGCACCTAATTCTCCAATTATGAGAGAACCAAATCCAACAATGATTGATGCAATGAAAACTTTATTCGAACTATTCTTCCACGAGGCCGATAACAATGCACAAAGTACTCCTAAAAGTTGACTGCCTGCCTGTAAATTGAATACAAAACAATTTAAAAGAAAAACTGACAATTGAATCTTCAATTAAATTCAAAGGGTGTGCTTGACATTAAACTGAAAGAAATAGAAGAAGATGCTAATTTCAAATATGATGTTAAAGATGACCAAATATCAAGCACTACAAAAGGCATAAAATAAGACCATAGTGTCGAGTTTTAACACTTAAAGCTGATGCAGTCTCGGTCTTTTTACTGTTTGTGTACACTAGTACATCCCTTGGCATATGGAGACACCTGAATTTCACAAGTTTGCGTGTAAGCACTTCTGCAACTTAAGAAAACCATCCATGTTTCCCTGGGGAAGGCATTTGGGGTTGCCTGCCAAGTCACTCGCCTAGCACATGCCATTAATCACATAAATCCTAGCAAACTAGGCTATAAAACTGATTCCAAAAACGTGTCGAGCTAATCCTCACAAAAGAAAACTGTCAGACCCTTACTTGAAGATAGGTCAAAAGGGAGGAATTTTAGGAACTCCTCCCACCTCCTTAAACAAATTTGGAAAGGATGAAAGGGGATGGTGTGGACATGCTAGTTGACGGCAGATTGCTGCCTCTCTCGGCAGCCAAATGGTTCAAATTGATAAACCCAAGTTGAGAGTGCCTCCACTCTATGGACTTCCCTCGCCCAGGTGTGCTGGCAGGCGATTCAAAGCTGGTGAGCAACAGGAGTGCAGAGATTGAAACTAAATCTTATAGACTGAGAGACTTGTGAGAATGCCCGGCATTAGCACAACTTGGTGCGACGTGTAGTGCAGACAAACAACAGCAACTTTGGGTAACACGACACCTGAGCTGCACCAGCGTTCTTGACTAGCAACGATCATACATCCAATGCTGTCATGACATGCACTTCGCTTGAGTCAAGTGCATGGATAAGGCCTCAGGCCATGCATGTGTGGGTGATTCATGTGTAATAGCTGCTGGTGGCAGATCACATCCCTGTACATCAAAAGTCAAATAATCGAGGGTCTACAAAAGCCCCCAGCTTAGACCGTTTAAATAGGCTGAGTCCCCATTCATGCTTCTTGTCTTCTTTACATGGGTGTGTTAGTGCAGCTAGAATTGCAAAGGACAGTCCTCATGACAATAGCAATCATGGAACACAAACGCACCATATACCATGCATGTCTGAGCATGACAGGCAGAAACCATATTGCTCCTAGCATAGTTTTTGCTCATTGCTATCAACGGATAAGCTTAAGTCCAAGGAGTTGCCTTCAGACCATCATTAAAATATAGCATATGCATGTTTCACAATATTTTGTTTATTACTACAATACTAGTTGATGTTTATCGCTTGCTTTGGCTAAACCTCAAAATAATCATTTCCAATAAATGGAATAACCAACTAATTTGCAAGTACTTAGACATGAGCTAATGTGAACCAAAATTGACTAATATGCATTGAGAAATAGGTTGAGAAAATATTTTCAAACAAAAGGTTCAAAATATTATCTTTTTAAGGCTCAATATTTGTGAGATTCACACTGTTATAAAGCAGAAATGGATAGGCTTTATACAATGTCTATCAATTCCAAGCGATTGGTCATCATGAACAACTACTCAAGTTCGTGCTTCATGAAAACAACACTTGGACGGATAAAAGAAGTGATGAGGCCGAACAGTCTTCCATGGAGGCAGGACGGCCGCACACCAAGACAAAACAGTGCTTTTTCTAAAAGAGCCTCCCACTATA